TAAAACAGGTGCTATGAGAGCTTAAAACAGGTGCTATGAGAGCTTAAAACAGGAGACCTGTCTTGTTCTGGAGGAGAGCATTGTGGAAGCCTTCCCAGAAGTGATGTTTGAACTGAGATCTTCCGGAGGACATTGAACCATTTGAGGGGAAGAGCTTGGGAAAGAACATTCCAGGAAAAGGGAACAGTGAGTTCAAAAGCCCTGAGGCAGGGAAGAAATTATGTACTTTTGCTAGTAGATTTTTGTTTTAATTGTCAGGAAATCTGCGCTTGATGTGGAGATTTGGGGGAACCCTGCAGATGCAAAACAAAATCTGCACTGTGCATCATAATCTGTATCTGAGAAAATTACTGGACTTCAAGAATTTTTTAGGTATGAAACCATCAGGAACCATGGTCTATTTATTCAACAAACGTTTCTCAGTGAGATCCTGGGGGAGGGTGTTGAAGGAGGGAGGCACAGAAGTACACGGAGTTGATCAGGCAAAGCTTTGGAGGAGTTGGGACATTTTTTCTAAGAGCAATCAATAGGAAGCCACCAGAAGATTATGAAGAAGGGGAGTGACAGCGATAGGATTTCTGTTTGAAAAGTGGAGGGAACACTCTAGGGAGAATGGATTGGTGAGGAGCAGAGTGGACGCAGGGAGAACAGGTAGGGGGCCACGGCAGTGGCCCAGCAAGCAATGACGGTGCTGTGGATGAAGATGGTGGTGATGGGGAGAAGGGACACAGCTTCTTGTGTTCCATTCAGCTGCATGGATGCTAGCTGGGTGCTCCCCGAGCCCCTCCTCTGCCTGGCCCCAGGACCCACGCCCTGGGTTTGCTCTCCACCCCCCTCCCAAGAAGGGCAGTGAGAGTTGCTCAGGCCCCTGGGTTTATGTGCCTTCTGGTTCCTCAGTGGGCCCTGCTTCCCGCGGCCCAAGCCGTTCAGCTTGGCTCCCAAGGAGGTCTTTTTCTCCAGTGAGTGGGTCTGAAGAATGACCGAGCCGTCACTAATCTGCTCCTGTCCCCGCGTACTGAGGAGGGCGCTTGGCAGGGGATTGCTCTGGTGTGTTCACTGCAGCCCCGAACCCGGAGCAGAGCTAGGGAATTGCTGTTGCTGGGGCCCCCTGCCCTCTCCTCACCCCAAAATAAACGAAGGGAAAGCTTGAACTTTCTTCTTTCACAAGGAGACCCATTTCTGTATTTGTGACTGGGAGAGAACATGTCTTAAAGCTGCCTTTTCTGGTGACAACAGGAATACAATCCTATCAGAGAAAATTGGAAAGTACGAATAAATAGAAGGAAGACTAACCATATTCATACCACTACCCTGCATTTTTGTATATTTTCCCAGTCATATATACTTATTTTTAAATAGGTCATACATACTGAATATACTTTTGTGCATCTTGCTCTTTTCACTTTGTGTTTTAAGCATTTCCCTGTGTCATTAAAACCTCTCCGCACACAATTTTTAATATCTGCAAAGTAGTCTTTGTTTTTGAAAACATATTTTACATAACCTTTTCCTATCTGTTGAAGAGTTGGCTTGTGTGTAACTTTTACCATTGCAAGGAGGTCTGTGATGAACGTCTTTGTTTATAAATCTTTACCTGCATTTTGGATGCCCTCTCCCCCCATAGATTTCTAGGAGGGAGATTAATGAGGGGAGTTGTATAGACAAGCCAGGAAAGAAAATCTCTGTGTAGGATAATTCCCATCAAAAGGTAACTCTGCTCCTATCAGGGGATGTAAAGGATGGGCTGTGCTTTTCCCTCTGTAAGGACCCCGTGCTCCCCACGTCACTTCTCCATTCGCCAAGCAGTGGCCACTAGGTGTCTGTGTGTCAGGAATTACCTCTTTTCTCTAGAAACCCCGCTGGATTAAGGGCTTGAGCGGCAGCTGGGGCTGGGATTTCATCGGTTTCTCTCCATCTTGTGGCAGAGTGGAGAGCCCTCCAGGCCTGGGAGTCTGGCTCCGCTATGCAGCCAGAGAACCAGCTAAGCAACCTTGAGCGCTGTCATTTCCCCTGTAGGGGCCAGTTTTCTCATATGTAAAACAAGCCGAAAAAGGCAGGAGTTGGAGATTGACCGGATTTTGTTATTGTTGCCATTTAAGCAGCAGAACCCTTATTTCAAATTAAATTTTACCAGAACCCTCATCTATAAAACAGATTAAGGGCCAACTGTCCCAGTAGAAGCAGGGGAGGAGTGGGAGGGGGGAGGGGATGCTCTAGTCGGAAAACTCTGGCCTAGAGGATGGAAGTTTCACTCCAGTTCAGTTCAGTTCTCTTCCCTGTTGCTGAAGTTAAAAAACAATTATCTTTCATCTATATTTCAATCCTCCAAATGTGCTGATTGATGAAATCCTTTCTCTTAAAGGCAATTTGGAAATCAGACAAAGTAAGAGCACAAAGCCGTGGATGTTTAGAGAGGGAGCGAGCAGTGTGTGAGACTGGCTGAAAGGGTGACCCTGGCACTTCTAAGAAGGCAGAGCACAATGGACTCTTGGAAAGAAGCAGTGTCAGTTTATTCCCGCGTTGGCACCGCCCCCTCAGTAGGGCGGAATTGCTTGTTTTCACCCTCCCTTCCCTGGAGTCTTTCAGACCAAACTTGTGTCCACAATTGCTAGCAATCTGAACCCAGAGTCACCTACGGACAGGTATTTTATGAAGGCCCAAACACTGTGAAAGATATGAATAGGGGCGTGGATATGACAAGAGACTTTCCTCCCGCCCCTGGGACGTGGAGCACGGGGGAGGGGGGACCTGGCAGCCTGTGACTTTGCTCCGATCACTGCAGCAAGGCTGCGGCACCGACCTGCTCGAAGGGGCCCAAGGTCCGTGGCCTTGGGACGGGGAGAGGAGGGAGTGGTACCGAGGCCTCGCCACGCCGGACGCAGCAGGCCCGCGGGGAGCGCCGGCTGTAGGGCGACGTGCCCGGGCCTGTAAATCACCGCCGGGAGCCCTCCCACCCCGTGCGGTACAGTCGGGGATGGGGTGCGGCGGGTGGAGGGATGCAGTGCCAGCGTCTGCAGGGGAGGGGGTGTTGCTTCCTTCCCTGGGAGACCCGACCTTTCTCGGAGAGGCGTGGTGAGCTTGGCCTCCGGGATCCGCAGGGATGTGTAAAAAGCGGCCACGACCCCCGAAGCCGCAGAAAGCCCCCGCCCCTCCCCCCGAGGCCCACCCCGGCTCGCAGGTGAATGGCTGGCCCGCACAAAGGAAGCCGGTTGGAAATGTGGAATTCGGACCAATTTACGGGAGATTCTGTCGCCCAGAGTCCAGCAGACCTCAAGCAAAGAAACCTGTGGTCAGGAGTGGATGAGGATAAAAAACAGTACACCAGGCCGAGCTTATTGGAAAGCCCGAGTTTAGTTATTCTGGGATAGCGAGGTAACAGGATTAGAGGGATTAAGGAAATCACCTCAAACAGCTGAGGAGGGGGTAAAAAAACACTGGTTCTATTTGTTTTCTTCCTAGGCCCCAGATACACTGGGGCCGTGTGGCCAGGCGCGAAACGAAAGGCCTTTCGGGGGGCACAGTGGAATGCCCAAGGGTCAGGGACGGAGGGAGAGTAGGGGGAGGGAGGGAGTCGAAAGCGGGCTCGAGGTTTGGGATGAGAGGGAGTCTCTTCTAGAAAACAAGTCAGTGGACTGGGTTGACAAGTCAAAAAGAAAAAGCCATCGAAGGAGTTTGAGAGACATTTTAAAATCTAAGGTGGACTTTTAAAAACCACACCTTCCAGCGTTCAATGCTGGCTCCGGCCGCTTCACCCACCACGGTTGAAATGTATTCGTTTCCTGCCAGGGATTCCTGTAATTATTTATGTTTAATAGGCTAACTGATATTTCCGAAGGGTTTTCGTTTTGTAAATCGTTCAGCTTGGCTCAAGTGTCTTCCCGCCCCAGTGCACAAAGGTAAATGTGCCCCTTTGGAGGCCGGTTTCCGCGGCCGCCGCCGCGATCAACAAGTGTGTGGCCGCGGGGTGCCTGCCTCAGCCGGCGTGTGCTCGCTCCTAGGAGACGCTCCCAGAAGACAAATCGCTTTCTCCTCGGAGTTTCAGTTGAAAATATCGGGAGCCTCTCTCTGTGTTTGGGCTCACCGGTATTTACAAAGGAACCATTTCAGGTCACACAAGCCTCCCCCCAGCCTCCCACCCCTGGCCCCGGCATGGGACCACGGTCGTAATACCGAGTGATGGTCCCCTCCCTAAGCCGCACCTAAAGTTTCAGGCCCGCAAAATTACCAGGACTCCATTATGTTGGTTATAAAATTTATTGATCTCTCATTTAGGAATTCGGAGTAAAACCTTGAAAAACCTGAAACAAAATAGACCCTTATCCCCACCACCCAAACGAAATCCAAATACGTTAGCGCGACGAAATATCAAACAGATCACGGCAGAAATCACCAACTCAGTAGCCTAAATGCTGACCGGACAGAAGCTGTCCCGCGGCCAGGGGCGGCGAGGCGGGAGACACACGCACACCTGGCTATAAATTAACATCTGCTTTGGCTGCCGCGCCGCTCCGAGCGGTCAGCGCCCCGCCCCCCACCCCCCGCAAAGCCCACGAGGAAAACAGATGCAACGCTACTGGGGGAGGAGGCGTTGCAGTTCTCAGGCTAGCCTCACCCGAGAGTATGTTTCTCCCATCCACTCACTCCTCGGCTAACAGCAAACTAACGAAACAACATTTTCAAATGCAACAGAAAAACCCAGGAACCCAGGAGGAGGGGGGGGGGCTGCTTTTTCTTTGCAAACAACACAGCGATTCCCAGCCTACAAAAGGGGAGGGAGGGGCAGCGGAGAGGGGCAGGCGAGCTCGAGAAAGTCCCATTTCCGCCGCTCCGGACTCCTTTTTGCTTTTGTACAAAACCCGACAGCTATAGCAAAACTTTCTGTCCTCCCCATCATCGGTACAAGGCAACAGTCCCAGGCAAGCAAAGCTAAACAACAAGGCGTCCCAACTCGGGGGTGCGGGGCGGGGTGGGGCGGAGGAGCGGCGAGCGCAGGCCGGTGCTCAGATGTGGGTCAGCGGCACCGTTCCGTTGACGGCAGTCCCGGCGCCCTGGTAGTGCTGGTGCACGCTGTGCAGGCGGCCGCCCGGCAGCGGCGAGGCGGCGTCAGCCGCGTCCCCACCGGGCGGCAGGTACATGCTGATCATGTCGCGCAGGTCGCCGAGGCACGCGCGCTGCGAGTGAGACGCGATGGCGGGCGGCGGCGAGCTGGGCTCGGTCTTCACCACCGTGCCCATGGGGCCCAGGCTCATGGCGGCGGCGGCGGCGGCCGCCGCGGCGGTGGCTGGCTGCTGCCCGTAGGCGGCGGCGGCGGCGGCGGCGGCGGAGGGCGCCATGCCCCCGTAGCCCGAGGCGGCAGCCGCGGCGGCGGCGGCGTTCATGTAGCTCTGGGCGCCGGGCGGCATCATGGGGCTGTACTGCAGGCCGGCCATGTCGTAGCGGTGCATCTGCGGCAGCGCGGGCGGAACTGGGGCCGCCCGGAGACCAGCGCAGCCCGCACCGGGCCTGGTGGCCTGCCCCGCCCACGTGGGGCTGCGGCCCGTCGAATGACTCCGTGTAACGTGTTGGTGGCGGCGGCGGCCGCGGCGGCGGCGGCCGCGGCTCCGGGGGGCAGCAGGCCGCCGGGCAGGGAGTACTTGTCCTTCTTGAGCAGCGTCTTGGTCTTGCGGCGCGGCCGGTACTTGTAGTCCGGGTATTCTTTCATGTGCACGGCGCGCAGCCGCTTGGCCTCGTCGATGAACGGCCGCTTCTCGGCATCGGTCAGCAGTTTCCAGTCGGCGCCCAAGCGCTTGCTGATCTCAGAGTTGTGCATCTTGGGGTTCTCCAGAGCCATCTTGCGCCGCTGCCCGCGGGACCACACCATGAAGGCGTTCATGGGCCGCTTCACCCGGTCCTGGTCACTGCCCCCGCCGCCGCCGCCGCCGCCGCTCGCGCCACTGCCGCTGCCGCCGCCGCCGCCTGCATTCGCGCCGCCGCCTGCGTTCGCGGTACTCTTGCCTGCGCCGCCCGGGGCTGCGGGGCCGCCCGCGCCTGCAGCTGGGGTGGGTGGCCCCGCGGGGTTCTTGAGTTCAGTCTCCAGCAGGCTGTACATGGCCTGGGCGGGAAGAAGGTGCGCCAGGGTGGCGGGAGGAGAAGGCGCTCCCGGGGCTGGAGCGGCCACGGTGAAAAGGCCTGGGGACTCCGTCGGAGGGGCGCTTTGGGGGCCGGTGGGCCAGTGGGTCGGGCAGGAAGGGCAGTCTTGCCGAAGTGCTCAGCGCCAAATCAGCGGGAACCTGCAGGCTACTCGCACCTGATGCGTTATCTCGGGCCGGTCGCATTCGCAGTCTGGCCGGGCGCTCGCCGGGCCTCTTATATACCTGCTCGGATCCCCCGGGGGTTGTGGCTCGGTCCGCCCCTCGCTCCCGGGAGGCCCGGTGATTGACAGGCTCGCAGTGGTGCGCCCTGGCCAATCATCACGGAGCCGCCGTTCGGCCCCGCTGGAAAAAAAAAGTTCGGGGAGTCCTTTCGTTCACCCCCACGCCCCTCTTGGGCCCGGTGACGTGATGAGAGTTATTCAGGAGGCGGGAGTCCCGGGGAGCCGCTCAGAGACCACCAATTAGGGTCTCAAAAAGTTTGAAAGAATGAAACTCGAGGAGGTGACGGAGGGGGGAGGGGGCGCGCGAGCAGG